AAAATCTGTTTTACGTATCTATTTGACGTGATATTTTCCAAATTCTCTAATATATTCTTAAGAAATATAATTCTAAAACTTCAGACCCAAACTYCCWCTAAATCATAAGTTCTTTTTAACCCAATAATTAAATATACTAAGAAAATAATTGGGCATATTAAAAATTGGATGTTACATTCTCACTATGCAAACCTAACTCTCCTTGGCGTTATAAGAATTATCTCGAATTCCCTCGCATCACCCAAGCTCGTATCACTATGTTCTACCCACCTCTAGATCTAGAACTAGACTTTAAACATTTTCAAGAGATCAGCTTAGCCGCATCATTATGATATGTCTGACCTAGTGTTTCGCCCTAGGGAGCACTGATCCTATTCATTAAGAAAAAAGATGGATCGATGCGATCATGTATCGGTTATCGTGAATTAAATTAAGTTACGATGTAGAATAAATATTTGTTGCCCCGTATAGACGATTTATTTGATTAACTTAAAGGGGCTAAGTGTTTTTCTAAAACTGATATGAAATCTGGATATCACCAGCTTCGAATAAGAGAACATGATATTCTAAAGACTGCATTCCAAACATGATGAGTGAGAAGTTATCTCAATATTGATTTGTTGGACATTTTCACTTGAGATCTATAATTGGTTGAACTTTTTGAGTAGGCACTAGGAGGGTTGAGTCTTGAGGTGCTACCTTGGAGGTAGGCACTAAGAACTCCGCCTTTTGAGGTGTTACCTTGGAAGTAGACACTAAGTATGTTGAGCCTTGAAGATGTTATTAGTAAGAATAGACATTAAGGTCAACCGACTCTTGAGATGAAACTTGTTAAGAAGCCGTCAGGACACTTGGATGATAAGTCTGAAGTGTTATGCGACAACGTTGTTTCAAGTGGCATACTTTTGTGTTCCTAACACTCTCAGTGGATATGGGTCTCCCTAGTTGATTATAAACGAATGTTATACTTGGCTTACAAATGCTTTTAAYTAATTATATTATGGTTGCTTACTTCATGTTCATACTCACTAAGATTTTTAGCCTAACACTTATTTTGTATCAGCATGTACCTCGGTATCTAGTGGCTTGGTTGCCAAGAAGGTCTGACCGGTCCTTGTAAAGAGAGAGAGCTCGGGGAGCATTTTTTAGGACACCAAACAATGTTATAGCCTTTTGATGGGTTGGATGACTCCCGATTGCAATCTAGTTTGTTAAGAATTAAATTAGGAGGTTGCTAAACTCAAACCAATTCATTTACAATTGTAATTGAACTAGTGTGTCTTGTTCCCTTTTTGGGGAAAGTTTGTATCTTGATATTATATACCACATTTCTTATTTTTTATGGAAATTATTGTGGTCCCATTTTTTTGGTTGTTCTAGACCAGACCTCCCATCTCAAACCCCACAAAACATCATCCTTCAATCTTCCTGGTATGTTGAACCCTTTCAATCTTCCTGGTATGTTGAACCCTACAAAAACCCAAGTAAAATCTGCAACTGTGAAACAGACAACCATTAAAACAGATGCATCACCAAGAACCACTCTCATCTTGTCACGAAGCAGCAACAAGAATCCGTTCGACAGTCTAACCTAAATCCATTCGACCATCTAACCTAAATCCACATTGAGAAGATCAGGGTTAGTTCACAAACGATTATGGGTTTAGTCACTCAGATCTACAAAGGAATCGGGTCATAGACTTTGACACACACATACACACGTCAACGATGAATCGAGGCAACACGAACATACAAATTAGGGTTTCACCTTCAAGATCTGGGTTTTGAGGGGGGTTTTTTGTTTGAATTCGGTTTATGGTATTTTTGTTTGAATCTTTAGGGATTTTAATTATTTGCACAATTTTTTTCTTATGTGATGTTTATTGATGTTATAGGAGTTAGGGTTGTTTTTCATGTTATTTGATTTCAATTCAAGGTTTGTGATTAATTTGTGGATCTTGACATTGATTTGATTTTGAAACTTATCAACATCTTCATGATAATGAATTGCATTTTTTTAAACTTTGTTTGTATCTAAAGGTAGAAATGACTAAAAAATGGGTTTGAAACTAGGTAGGGGATGGTATTAGTGTGGTCGATAATCGGAAAAGATGACTAGGAAGGGAATTGGTCAAAGTTATAAGACTTATGTAAACTACATGATTGGTCCCTGTGGTTTTTTAATTATAAAAAATACGAAAAACAATAAAATGATTAAAATACCCCTTCAGTTCACATACTTAACATAGAATTTTATCGAAGTTAGATTTAGGGACCATTGTGTTATAAAATACAAACCACAAGGATATAATCTATAGATATTTCAAAATAGAGACCTAAAGTGTCAAAACACATAAACCACAGGAATCAAGAATGTAATTTACTCTAAAACTGACAAATGGAATAACCATATGATAAAAAGATGAAGCTAAAAAGACGATATGTTCCATCGATTAACTAGACTAACAGGATTTTAAAGGAAGGAACTCGGAGCATGTGTTTTTGCATACCACAAGTAATGAGAGTATAAGAAACGCATTTGAAAGACAGTAGCAATGACAATCATTAAACTATAGGGACCAAGAATGTGATTTACTCAAAATAAATATATTTAGTGAAATTGAAATTTTTAAATGAGAAACATTTATATATAAAAATTGTTTTTTTAAAAGCCATATTTATTAAGAAAAAACCAACCAAATACAAACGACACCTCCAAAGCAAACCGAAAATTTGTTGTTGGATGACATACATCGTTATGATTTTACAAATTGATAAACCATAGTACTTGAATCTAAACAGCACCCCGCGAGGTCCGTGCCTTTATTTTCAAATCATTTTTTTATTAACCTAAATATTCAATCCGCTACGCGAATCGACTAATTATAGGGCGGCCATCCGTTTCGTTGGTAACTCGRAGTCATCGCATTTAAACCACTGTGACCACAACCCACAAGGGATTTTTATTATTCCTTCAGACACTTTATTTTCAAATCCTTTGTACCACGTATAAGCAGGGTCAGATTCAACAAGAACCTAAAAAGGAGAAGTGAATAACTATGGAAATTGAAAAAGCATATTAATAAAGATATTAAATTAAATGTTCAAATCCAAGGAGCAATAAAAATTCCCTTGTGGCCACGAAGGTTCAAATGCGATGACTTCGGACTATCTGCAAAACAGGTGGTCGCTCTGGGATCAGTCGACTCGCATAGCGGGTTAGATATCCAGGTTAATTAAAAAAAGATATTATTAAATTAAACGGAATAAAATGATTTTTTTTAATAATTTGTTTTACTCGATTTCAATTATGTTTAACAGATTTTGAACTAAAAAGTAAAAAAGACATTATCTATTATAAGAAAATTGTGGTTGAAATCTTCATCACATCCATGAAACAGAAAAAGAAGTCAATTTGGTTGTAGAGCAATGGATAAGGCAACCCCATTGACTGGCATTAGGAATAGGAATTAAACCCGATCTGTTGGGGATCCGGTCCATCCGTCTTAGTCAAGCATGGGGATTCCTCGTTAAATTGGGTCTTGGGAACGGGGACGGGGATCCCTGTTTGGCTCAAATTGAGGATGGGGACGGGTATTGCCCGCCCCGCCCCACCCCACCCCACCCCCATACCCATACCCATACCCGTACATATATTATTCAATAAATTATATTATATAATATTTATTTCTATTAAATCAGTAAATGCTAATTTCTATTTCAATATATTTTGGATATTAGTAGATGTGGTTTTGGATATTACTCAACATGTTTTAGTACATGTGACATTAATTTTTTTAGATTAATTTAATTTCTTTTAGTTTTCGATTTATTAATTATTATATGATGATGTATATTTTTTGTATTAAATTTAATTTCTTTTGATTTTAGGTTTATTGAAAAAATGTGAGATTTAAACATGTGTACGTCTCACACATTTGATTTAAAAAAGGTTACACGAACAGGAAAAAAAATCCTCGTTCCCCATTGGGGATAGGGATGAGGATGTGATCGAATTCCCCGGTGGGGACGGGGACAAAGATGGGGATCGAGGATTGAGGTCCCCGCCCCATTACCATACCTCACTGGCATGGTGAATGAGTACGTCTCCACTCGTAATGTTGATTTCGTGAGAATTTTTTAGTTTTTTTGTGATTTTAAGGGATTTGTTTTCGGTTTTCTAGTCGATATTTATGGCATTTTTCTAATATCTTGGAGCACCCCTCAAAGTTTTACTGGTGCACCTTTCATACAGAAAGAAATTTTCTACTTACGTAAATAAGTCGAACAGGTGCATGAGACCCGCTTGAGGGTTCAAAGGGGCATGCCTAACTCGATTTTCAGTGATCATGATCCCATTTTCATAAGCCAATTTCGGCGTGAGGCGCACGACTAAAGATACTTTTTGCATACGATCCCCAAACTGAAGTGAACTAGCAATATCTATGCTGTGTGGTTCACCAGCAACTACGAAAACAGTGTTCCCTTAAGCAGAGTTTTGGTACAAGGCCTACAAATACCACGCTTCAATTGGGCTCTTTTCCTGTTCACAAGGTCGACCAAAACTTCGCCACACAAAATGGTCTTCTCAATCAGCTGAAAAAGCAACTTGCATCAAGCTTCCAATCGGATGAAACACATTGCCAGTTCAGAACACCGGGATACCGAATCCAATGAAGGAGAAGGAGACCGTGTTTTCCTTGAACTACATCCTTAACGGCGATTGAAGTGCAAGTTATCCTACTTTGCCACCTCTCAAAGTCAAAGATGATGGTTCCCTCATCAATACCTATGGAAATCTTGGACACGAGGAAATTTAACAAACTGCACCTTAACGATCACATATACCTCTATGCATTTATAGATCTTGAGAAATCTACTTTCTTGTTCTTTCGGAATGATCATTATCTAAAGTGCTAAACCAGTTAAACCATAATCGAATATTTACTGATTTGATAAGCAAATAAACAATAATTAAAGAACAAATGCTACACAACACGTGGGAAGACATAGCTTACTTCTGCTGCATATTATAAGCAAGATATATTAACTACCAATTATCCAAAGATTGTTTGTCAATATCAAAACAATATGAGAATTTCTTGCCTTATAACTATTGGGTAAGCTCAGGATTTGTTGAAGACTGACCACAATTTTGAATCTGAGGAGATGTTTCAGTAGTGTTCTCCATGTTGGTAGATATAATCTCGTTAGTTGTTTCTGGTTCAGTTGGAGAAGAAGCAAGAAGAGAGAGACGGCATAGGGGGCATGTGGTGTGAGAAGAAAGCCAGTGATCGATGCACTCCACATGAAAAGCATGCTTGCAAGCTGGTATCTGTTGTAGCCTATCCTCTGCCTCATAATCCCCAAGGCATACCGAACATCTGCAAATTCATTCATTGGCACCCAACTTTCAGAACAAGTAAAACTGGTTAAAGATGATATGATTGATGCTACTGATGGCACACAAAAACTGCTCTGATAAAAACAATCATTACAGATTTTAAGTAGTCTGTGACTGTTCTTATTATGAGTTCATGCTTGACAGAAGTTGCATGTAACTTCAAGTCACAGTGATCTGAAAACAAAAACTTAAAAAGTGGAGCTTGGTGATAGTGAACCTTCTAACGTTCAATCTGTAGGCGGATTATTAGCTGCATATTAAGTGATTCATTTTATGAATACAAGCTAAGCATTTTAATTCACCAGTTGTACAGTTTCTTGTTTTCATTGTTCCATTGTATCGGTCTCGTGAAGCATCCAGACTTGAAGTTCCAATCCACCAGAACCTCAATTAATGGAAAGAAAATGCTCTCTATGTCCCAAAATAAGTGTAATATTTTTATTTTAGTTCGTCCCAAAAATAAGTTTCCATTTCCAATTCTACTATTAATTATGAGATGAAAATATTCGTTACTCCCTCTATTATTAAAAGTAAAATTGTCATTTAGTTAATTAAAAAGTGTATTATACATTTTTAAAACTAGGTGCCTTTTTCATTGTGGACATTTACTTTGGGACAGAGAAAGTATCAAGGAACAATCTAATGAAAAGACCACAACAACCTATAGTGCAAAAAGAAATCATTTACCTTCAACTGACTTCCATTTTAACCTTCCATTATATATATTCAATGATGCAAAAAGAAGTTTTATACAAACACATGAACAATCATAAGAATATTTTTCATAGATTAAGCAACTCAAATGGCACTAATTGATTGTTTGTTGCATATCCTGAACACGGATTCATTTAGGGTTAGGATCGGACGCTCTCATGAATATTAAACGGTTGCATTAAACGGCTACAACTTTGTGCTTGGTTTGCTTAGCTGGTTTAATTTCCATTTGGGATGGAAGGAAAATGTTAAATGGAAGGTAAATTAATTTGGTAAATTTTCAAAAGGAGTTCCTTTGATTAGGCTTATAACTCCCAAATCAATAAGGCCATATCAACTAGTCGTACATGTCCTAGTGATTATTTAATAGCTTCAAGGACTAGCAGGTGGACTAGTCAGCTAAATATAATCAACTGACTTCTGAATCTGATTAATACTTACATAATCTCCACTTGATGGCTATTAGTTGTTCCAAAATGCTTAATAAAATGATAACATGAAAATCCACTTTATATGGAAGATAGATGCATAGGTGGCCAATTACGTGATCACCTGGGCCGATTTCTAAGAACAATGGCAATTAGCAAAAATGCAAAGGCAAATGCATGAGTAATCAATTAACCATATTGCAATTCAAGAAACTTACTCTGAGCCGTGAATGATTTACTACTGATATAAACTTTTATGGCATAAAGATAATTAGAACAACAACAATAATCCGTTTTCTATACTTCTATCCGAAAGCAGATGGGTAGCCAATACGAAGACGATAGCTAGAAATACTAACCCTACGTTATTATCAATGATACATATTTATGTAACTAATGAATACAAGAAAATGCAATGAAGTAGGTGTCAACAGAAAGAAAGAAAAGCGACAACTCATATGTCGGCGCAAAAATAGAAAGAGTCATGCCAAAAAAGTGGAATTCTTCCACATAGGATAATGTAACGATCTTCACTTCGTTTATATGGTAACGATTGATCTAGCTTCCCTTGTTTCACATAAGGCATATGCTGCCAAGTCATGTAACATGAATCTCGTCATCTTTGACTCAATTGTAGAGTCTTATGCTATCTATATCAATCCCAATCACATTATGCAAAATGATCCTTGCTCATATGCAATAAAAGTTAATCATCTTGGAACATAAATACTTTCACAATTACAGAAGGAACCTCTGTACTTTCCAAGTTCAAATAGATAGAGATGGTGTTACAGGTTTCGAATGCCAGTTTATTTTTTGGAAACAGAGGGATTATCTGGTTAGATAGATTGTCCAGCTAAGCAAATCCCAGTTTCTTGAGGATCTTATAATGAAGTTCTAACTGTGCAATGCATATCTAAAAGATCTACAATATATATAATGAAAACAAAGAAGCATAAGACTCACAGGGTATCAGTTACAGAAAAGCTCTCCTTAAACACAATAACAGGCAGCATCTCCCTCAGCTCTTTCTTCAACCCCAACTCAGCCTGCTCCTACTTACAATGGAAAAAAGGTCAAAACTCATAAATTAACTAGTTTGGAAGAGGAATCTGCATTACAGCACGTAAGTGATAATGACAAACTGATAAGATATCATAAAGGCCCTCATTCCCAAGATGCAATTGTTCTAAACCTAAATAAATCGAGAATCAATTAGCATAAAATAATAATACCGTTGAGACAACATTGATGGCTGATGAGGAAGCCGACCAATGCGGTGTACGGCGTTGGAGACGGCGGATGCGGAGATAGAAGAGATAGAAGGATAAGAGGAGGAGTAGGGTGAAAACAATGGTGAAAGCAAACGCAAACCCTCGAAACAGCTTTACTTCAGCTGATAATGCCTTCCTCCAATTCCAACAACTAGTGCTACTTTCAGTAGCGCCTGATCTTGATGATGATGATGATGTTTCGTTTGCAGAACAAGCCATTTCAAATCTGTGGATTTGTACACAAGATTGAACGCATCCTCAGTTGATCAAGGCTGCCGTTTTTAACACTACACGTTTGTTTCAAGAGGAGGATGAATTTCAATTCGCACCATATAACACCCCGAACGAAAAATTCCTAAAGTAAAAGCTAACAACGAAAATAAAGAGAAGGAAAGGGGAAAAAAAGGTGTTTGGAATGTGATGAATTAGAATTCATCAAAACAACTTGACTTTGAATGAATATGAATGGAATTTCATAATGTGTTTGATTGATAGGAAATAGAATGAAATCTCTCAAAAAAAAAATTAAAACAATCGTTTTTGTTTGGGTATCTCATCCATCACCCGACCTACATGCAACTGACCATCATGTCATTACTGTTATCGTCACAGCTATCACTCTGTCCCACCCCCCTACCCAAACTCTACCCCACCACCCCAAGCCTGCCATCATGCAAATGAATGATAAATTCATTAATTTGTGGTATTCAATGGAATTTGAAATATTCCATCTATTTCAAGAAATGAACCAAATAAAAGAATTGAAATTTGGTCAAATGAATTAATTTGTCATTCCAATACAAAGTCCTTCAAATTCCCAGAACCAAACGACCCCTAAACTTTCGAGGCTTGAAGAAATGGAATCTTTAGAGGAATAGAAATCTGAAAAGAGTTAGAATGAAATGTGTAATATTCGGTTTAAGTATTTTAAGAGTTTTAAATTTATGTTACATATTTATGGTATGTAAGTAAGCATGGTGATGTGTGTGTGTGTGTGTGTGTGTTGAAGTAGGAATTGCTTGCTTTTGGTAAAAGACGGTCATACACTTGCTATAAATAGCAAGTGTATGTGAAAGAAAAGCTTCTGCTTCTTTTAGAAAGTTTTTCTTTGGAAATTGGAGAGTGAAGATTTGAAGAAATCGCAGGCATTAAACTGGTCAAAATTCTTAACAAAAGTGAGTGTATTATGCTCCATATATTAATCATGTGTGTATAAATCAATTGCTGTTAAAAATTGAATATGATGAACTATTTTTGCATATCATTCGGATTACCCTAAACCGGATAAAGGTTTGTCCGGATTCATCCTAAACTAGATGAAGTGTTGACCGGATATCACTTAAACCGCTCAAGGTGTCACCGGGCTTGAGTAAAACCGCTCAAGGTGTCACCGGATTAGAGCTAAACTGCTCAAGGGTCGTCCGGTTTATTGCTAAATCGATCAAGTTTCACCCGGGTTCTCTATTTTCAATATGTTGACCGGATTTCATATCCAGACAAGGTAACCGCATTTCATATCCGGACAGAAGTGACCAAATCCACTATCGGTTTTGGCTTAATCTGAAATTAGCAAGAGAGAGATATAATGGCGGTGTAACCGTGAGAGAGATGTAATGGTAGTGTAACTGCGAGAGAGTTGTAATGGCGGTGTAACCGCGAGAAAAAAGAGATTCTATAATAGAATATAGATAAAGTACATATGATATGAAACCTTCAAGAAAGATTTCAGTATGTGTCGGACCGTTCTTGTATGATCTCATGTACTCTCTTGGACCCAACTTCTTAGTCTTGAATCCAACAACGAAGGGTATATAAAACCCAACGCCTTTGGAATGCAAAGAAAGCAGAAATGAATATTAGAGGAAGAAACACAAATACTTCCAAGGAACCCAACACCTTGCTATCTGAACTCAACAATGAGGGATATGTGAAATCCAACACCTTTGAGTACCAAGAAGTCAAGTTGTTAAAGTCGAGGCGCCACTCTAAGCGGAAGAAACCTAGAGATAAGCCAAGTGAGAATCGCAAGCACTATTAGTCT